TGGTCCTTCACCAAAGCAAATGCATGTGAAGTTCTAAATGCATGCTTTATGCATCATAAATCAGTTATTAGCAGCAACCTTGGGGCCATATCCTGCCCACAGTAGAGAATCTATATGGACCAGCATGTGTTCTATTCCAAGTTCAAAGCCTCTCTGTACATAGTCAGATTCTTAGTTGGTATAAACTAGTATAGCTCCATTGAAGATGAGGATCTTTTCCATAATGCACAGTGATTTGGTGCAAGAAAAGATTATTTGTATGTTTATTTTGCAACTGGCAAACAGAAGAATACTTTTTGGAACTATTAAAATGGCAGTAAGGGTCTTGCAAGATCTATGTTTGATTACTCAAAGATGCATTTTTCTCATCCTAGGCTTTTGGGCAGGCCCATACCAACCACAAGAAGGTAGCAGCAGATGGAGAGAGCAGAGAGGAGACCTTGATTCAGGAGTCAGCTACCAAAGAAGAGTACTACATGAAAAAAGTGATGGAGCTGCAGACGGAGCTCAAGCAACTGCGGAATGTCCTTGCCAACACCCAGTCTGAAAATGAGCGCCTTAATTCTGTTGCACAGGAGCTGAAAGAGGTAAGGGGGAATGATTAATGTACAACCTCAGGTGAATTGCAAGAATGCTTTCTTCCACTGTGAAACCTAGAGCTTCTGCTTTGTAATGGTGATCTATTCCAGGATCAAGATTTGCTCTATTCTTAAGGTCCTTAGCAGGTCAGTGACTCTCCTTGGGGACTGGAATAAAGCAGTGTACTTAAGCAAGAGACAGGAAAGTCACTTGGCTCAAGCAGGAGGAGCCTTCTGATTTGAATTCTGCTGGACTACCACCCTGTGTTACTATTTCAACATTAACGTTGGTGAATTGCATCAGTGTGTGGTGGTGGGGTAGAATTAATTATTTCATAGTTGGAAGGAAGTGGATGTATAGAATGGCAATGCTAAACTTGATAGTTATTAAGGTCCTAATACTGCTTCCTTGTATAGTTTTGTATTTTTTTTGAGTAGCAACAGGCTGCCTTTTTACTGCTTTTTGTAAACTCTGCAACTTCTTATGAAAGGTATCTCTGAACCTTATCATAATGTTGCTTTGGGATTATGACTGTACAGTGCAGATAACACTAGACTGTCTGAAGGGAGGAAATAATCAGAATAATGTAACTGAATAAGCAGTACAGTTTTATTATGAGCCTTCTACATATATATAATTTTGTTTATTTGAGCTAGAGAGAAATGAAAATGACACTTTGACCTCAGTTGCTTGGTTTGAGGTTTCTTAAATTTAATTGGATAGAAGGATACAATAAACTATAATGGGCTAGTCCATAATTGTACATTATGTAACTTCCTTCAAAGAAAGGTGCAAGATCTGAAATGGCTGTCTTTTGTAGCTTGGATACTGGACTAGACTGGGAAGGTCCTATATAATAAGCATTGCCTACTAGATTGTTAGTTATCTAAAACTAAACATTTCAGTCCTTGGGATATTTTAGTGGTTAAGAGACGTACAGAGATACCTGGTTTTAGTTTTCTTTCATTTCTGTATAAATGAATGGCATATGCGTGGACAAGGTATGGTGGGGGAGTTGTGCAGAAGTAGGAAGCTTTAAATTAAATATTTCTGGAAAATGTAAATGATTTCAACAATAATAGAATGGAGTCAATCAATATGTAACTTGTTTGATGCAACAGTTTCATAGATTCATAGTTTCATAGATTAAGGGTCGGAAG